ATCCAATATTAGTAGAGGTAGTCGAAGTATTACAAGTAATCAGAGAGATTAGAGTAAGAAGATATTATTCAAGAAGTATGTGATTTAGTGAGATAAGTTTAGAAAGACAAAAATAGAGGTGTTGAAGAATCCAGAAGATTAGGATTTGATAGAGAACACAAAGACTGAATGCACCGGCGCCATTGCAAACGGTTTTGAGCCATGTCATTCAAGGTCTCTTACCATCGATTATTACCATCTCGCAGACCCCAACCAGGTAGTCGACAACTAACAACATGACTGAGTCCACATGTGAAAGACTTCATGGATTTCTGCCATGTTTTGGTCTGACAGCCCCTAACTTTCTTCCAATCTACTCCTACACCACAATATAAAGCACATCAAAGCAGTCGGTGGTTAGACATACATAATACATGTCCCAACCACCTCAAATGATGAAGTTTCACCACTTCATCTATTGATCTGCCATCCTTACCTAGTACTCGTTTCCTAAATACAGCATTGATTACTCGTTTATCCCAGAATACACTAGCAATGCTTCGCAGACACCGATAATCGAAGACTAGTAACCTACTCTACTCTTAATGGCCATGTTTCGCATCCAGTTTCAAAGTTCGCCATCTTATTTAAATCATACAACCATACACACGCACACACACAAAGATTTTCTAAACAGATCAACAGCGCTATAATGATGACGACATTTGTTGTGTGTTTTTAGAGAAAATTATAACAATCACGCACGCACACACACAGACACACACGCTAAACATTCTGTTTGACTGCATCCTAACTCAAAAAAAACGAAAAACGGAAACAGGTAAAAAAAATTCTTATTGATGATGATTATGACTATTTATTGATCAGTCAGTTATGTCATGCAATTTATCATCAATCACATGATTTGTGTGTTGTGTTGTCATCATGATTTGTCCACCTCCACCTCCACCTTCACCTCAACATGAATATCATCAAGATGATGTTATGTCATATTCAGTCAAAGTTGAATGGAATTTACTTTGAAGTAGCATAGTTAACTGTAAAACAGATGGTTAGACATATGTGTATTTCAATGATTGAACGAATACACGATTATATCAGCTGAGTGATTATACTTCTTGTAATCTTTACATATATGAAAAAGAGTTTATATTATTTGAAATAATGAATTGGATTTCTATTTTTTTGTCCGAAAACAAACAAACAAGTAAACTATATACATGAACCCACACACACACACACATACACATCAGGGATGGAGCTTCCTCTAGGGGACTTGCTTGTGAACTTACAGTATGCTGATGAAGATGTTGATAAAATGCAGAGTCTTCTGACTAACATAAGCAACAATCCAAGCATGTTCGGGATGCGGTTTTCCCCCTCGAAATGCAAAATGTTGCTTGAAGACTGGGTTGCATCGGTACCTAAACTAGTCATAGGGAGTGATGCAGTTGAACGTGTATATCACTTCACTTATCTTGGGAGTCCCATCAGTCTGGCTTTCTGACGAAGTCTCAGCGCCGTTACAGAAGGCTCTAATGGCTTTTGCCAACATGCGTCACTTATGGCGAAGGCGAGATATCCGGTTGCTGACTATAGTACGAGTGTACTGTGAAGCAGTTCTCTCCGTTCTAGCTTATGGCTGTGAAATATGGCCAATGAGAGTAGAAGATATTCGTAGGTTACTGGTTTTCGATCATAGGTGTCTTCGAAGCATTGCTCGTATATCGTGGGACAACCGAGTAAGCAATGCTGTTATTAGGAGACGGGTGCTAGGTAAGTATGGTAAATCAACAGATGAAGTATTGAAATGTCATCAGTTGAGGTGATTGGGACATGTGTTGCGTATGCCTAACCACCGACTGCCTCTTCGAGCTATGTTTTGTAATGTGGGAGTAGGCTGGACGAAAGCTAGAGGCGGCCAAAATGGCACATGGAACAAAATCCACGAAGTCACTGACAACTTGACTGAGTCATGATCCTAATCGATGACATGGCTCAAAATCGTTTGCAGTGGCTCAGGAGCATCCATACTTTGAGTTCTCTGGAATTCTCACTGAATTCTAACTTCCTCATCACCTTTATCTTTTGCTGTTAAGTTTATTTCACTGAGTTATACTTCTTGAATAATATCTTCGACACGTAATTGGTTAGATGACTGTTAATATCTCTACTACCTGTACTACTATGGGATTTGTATCGACGATTCCATCTGTGTGTGCTAATGTGCTCACCTACTGACTGACTAGTTTCATAAACAAGTTCTCAGAGTTCTAGCGAGTTGTTATACCAAATGGAGTTCAACACGGTCAGTTGTTACTGGTTACAATTGTAGACAATCGATGAGGTTGCGCAAAAAATTATAATGCTTAGAGTGATCAGAATTAAACATCGACACCACTGAATGCTAGCCAGTTTAATGTCCGAGTCAAAAACCGAATTTTTGCAAGTCGACAGGATTCATGAATTCACTTTACAGATGAATCTCATAACAGACCAACTCGACATGTTAATCTAACATGTTGATCGATTCACGGTTTCACTGACTGTGTACAAACAACAACAATCTCCATTATACTATAAAACAAAATCAAACAACGTGCTTAGCAAAATTCTCCAAAAAACTACATTCATGATAAATATGACGTAATCTATACACTTACTTGTGTTTGTGTTAAACCAAGTTGTGCAGCTAAACTTGCACGTTCAGTTAAATTTAAATATTGTGAATGAACAAAACGTCGATTTAACATTTGTAATTGCCATATTGAATAAATAGTACGTGGTTTACGAATTTTTTTATTCTTAATTAAAAGATTACCATTAGTATTATTATTATTATGATTACTATTATTGGTAGTAGTAATAGTAGAAGTAGTAGTATTATCGTCGTGATTATTCTGATTGTAAATATTCGACTGGTGGGATACATCGTCGTCCACCTCCCCCTCTTCTTCTTCTTCTTCTTCGTCTTCTCGTGGGTGTGGGGGTGGTGGGAGTGCTGCAGGTGCTGCTGGAGGTGAAATGGAATTGGTTTGAGAATAATAATCCATTGACAATGAGATGGGTGAATGTTGTGCTGATCGATTGTCTTTCGGAGGGTGGGGAGAAAAGAACATGTTAAAGACATGTTAAGTTAAAATGATGTACAGTTTGATTGAAAAAAATTATTAATAAAGGTAATTAGAGTATTTGTGACACTGTATCATGTGTATAGAGGATATGTGATAAGGCGGAAAGTTGTAGAACTATAAAGTTAGCTAGCTACTATGTTGGTCCATCAGTTCAATCATCTCATGAACCCTAACCAGGTAGGCCACATCTACTCACATGACTCAGTTCACTTGTCAGTGACTTCATGGATTTCTGCCATGTTTTGGTTTGGCCGACCCTAGCTTTCTTCCAACTTACTCCCACACCACAAAACATAGCACGTCAAGGCAGTCGGTGGTTAGGCATACGTAACACATGTCTCGACCACCTCAACTGATGAAGCTCACAACTTCATCTATTGATTTGCCATCCTTACCTAGAACTCGTTTCCTAACGACACCATTGCTTACTCGGTCGTCCCAGGATACACGAGCAATGCTTCGGATACACTTATGATCAAAGACTAGTAACCTACGAATGTCCTCTACTCTGACCGGTCATGTTTCATAGCCATAAAGTAGGACGGAGCTAACTGCTGAACAGTAAACCCATCCTTTGGTTGATAGACATATATCTAGAGAGCGATAAAAGTCATCATTCCCTTTAAACAGATATTTATGAACAATTTTCCACACAAGATACTATTCATTCGTTGGCTAGATACCATCAATAACAAACTACTGCAGGATAGGACAAACCATCACCCTTCAGCTCAGGAAGAAACTAGGATAACACGATTTAGGTGAGGAAAGGATCGAACTGCGACCTTAGACAAGCCGTCAATCGTAATCTTCAAGACTAAAGCAGAAGAGGAATGCCCAAAAAACACATTCATTTGAGAATTGTAAACACATTTGAGAAGAATGAACACCAATTGAAAAGAACTAGAAAGGAAGATCCAAAAGAGATTTGGTTGGAGAATGTTAATCAGTGGCCTATACATAAGAATGAGAGGTAACATACTTAAGTAAGTAATTTGAAAAATGTGAAGATACGAACAGTTGACCTAAGATCATTTGGAAGACTTTGTCCTCAAAATAAGGCTGCTCATCAATTGCAAAATACTGAAAATCAAGTTAGTTACTGCCTAAGCGATCTGTAAGTTACTTATTTATCTTAAGGTTCCAGATTCGATTTCCCGTCTTGCATGAGCACTACTAACTACTTCACACTCGAACAAGATTGAACTCCACTGGTTACAAATTTTCACTAAAACTAGGATAAAATAGAGAGGATGAGATTGATCAAGACCGTGTATTGACCAAAGTTGGACACTGTCTCATTGGTCAACATGTGAAGCGTTCATGCATGAGTCCGAAGGTTATAGGTTCGATTCCTGTGAGTAGAGGGAGTTGTGGATGCGCATTGTCACTGATAAGTCCCATATATATTAGGGACGAAACACCTATTCAATGCTTTTAGGTTGTTTTAAATCGTTGTCTAGCATTGATCGATTCATGATTTCAAATTACTCATTTTAAAAAAACATTGTCCTATACGCTCACGCCCACACACACAAACACACAAACACACTCTGTTAACAGACATAATGAGATTCACTTTCTTGATATACATATTTATGTGTTAACATAGTTACTAGTTTTGTTGAAAATGACTCGTGGCAATAAAACTGAGAAATAAGAAAGAAAACTCAATGACAACGAACAACCTAACCGTTAACCAGATTGATTTGAGAATTGGAGGGGGGAAGGAGGAGGAAATGAGAAAGCTTTAAAAAACAGAAGCACTTCTCTATACAGGAACATGTCTGTGTGTAGGTGTGTAGGTGTGTGTTCATAGGTGAATTTCCGATTACGCCTTTCATCGATAGTAAAAACCATGTATAACTAAAAACTATTGACTCCACCTCCACCCACCCTGAGGGCAATTTCAACAGATGATTTGATTTTTTCCCCTCATTTTCTGTGTCCTTTTCAACTTTTTTTTTTCAAGATAAAAACAAGAAAAGTTTATTGTCTTATCAAGAGATAATTATAGACTATGCTTATTTATCCCATCCACACCGCCCCTCCCCCACATTAAAATCGTTTCCACACCTACATATATACATACTACTACTTATCTTTGAGTTAATTTTTGCTTTCGACACTACTTAAAGTTAATATCAGTAGTAGTTGTTGTAGTCGTAGTTGGCTACATGTGCGTCATTGATATCATCGTGTATATGTGTGTGTGCGTGTTTGTGAGCACTCTGTGTGAACGATTCGGTTAACATGAATGAAACGAAACCAAAACGAAACGAAACGAAACGAAACGTTTTCTATTCACTAACAAACAACTATCAAAAACCGTCTGTTCTAGATAGTAACAAGATAGAAGAACTTTTGCTTCGATCGACTACTGACTGATATTACTATGATGTAATATTATGTGAATTAGGAGAATACTAGTAATATCTGCTTTTGAGAACAGAACATCATGCATCATAGATGAAAATAGGCGGAGTAGGTATGGTTACTGTGTGTGCATGTCTATTGGCGTGTGTGTGTGTGTGTGTGAGTATGAGACTAGACAAATGTTGTCAGGATGACAATTCATCATAAAAATAAGTAAAAGACTTCTGGAGTTGTCGGTGTTTTCGTGCAATGAGATTTTCTCCTTAAGACTGTAGTAATCACAGAATAGAAACCAATTAAGTATTTCAGTAGTATGGCAGTAGGTCAATTGTGTTATATAATTGTGTAATCGGTTGAGTTAATGAATTAAGCATTTTTACACAACCATTAGAAGAAACTTGGAAGCAGTGGATGGCGGCTGTTTCATCCTAGTACGCTCTCATCCTTTCTCATTCTCCTGGTGATCGACTGGATTATGAAGACGTCGACATCTGAAGGGAAGCACGGTATCAACTGGACAGTTAGGACGCAGCTGGACGATCTGAACTTCGCAGATGACCTGGCGCTTCTATCGCACACGCAACAACAAATGCAAGAGAAGACGATCAGTGTAGCAGCAGCCTCTACAGCAGTAGGTCTCAACATTCATAAAGCAAAAAGCGAAATCCTCCGATGCAACACAACATGCACCAACCAAATCACTCTTGATGGGGATGCCTTGGAGGACGTTAACACCTTTACATATCTGGGCAGCATCATCGACGAGAAAGGTGGATCCAATGCAGATGTGAGGGCGCGCATCGGCAAAGCAAGGGTTGCATTTCTACAGTCGAAAAATATCTGGAACTCCAAACAAATATCAATCAACACCAAAATCAGGATTTTCAATACAAATGTCAATACAGTTCTACTGTATGGAGCGGAAACTTAGAGAACTACGAAAGCCATAATGCAGAAGATACAAGTATTTATGAACAGTTGTCTGCGCAAAAAAATACTTCGGATTCGTTGACCAGACACCATCAGCAACAACGAATTGTGGGAGAGAACAAACCAGATTCCAGTGGAGGAGAAAATCAGGAAGAAGCGGTGGAGTTGGTGGATAGGACACACACTACGAAAAGCACCTGACTGCGTCACAAGACAAGCCCTCACATGGAACCCTCAAGGCAAAAAGAAAACAGGAAGGCCAAGGAACACATTACTCCGAGAAATAAAGAAAGATATGAGAAGAATGAACAAACATTGGACAGAACTTGAAAGGGAAGCCGAGGACAGAGTTGGTTGGAGAACACTTGTTGGCGCCCTATGGCCCATTGGGGGTAACAGGCGTAAGTAAGTAAGTAAGTAAGTAAGTATGGGACTCTATAGAAGTGTTCATCCACGACTCCTATACGCAACAATCTAACCCAGGACTGGGCCAACCCTTAATCTCTAGACCAGTGAGCCGGTATCCAATTGTCTCGGTGATTTAAATGAAACTCAACAATCCCCATAACCCTATAATGACAACAATGCCGATCGATAAAAATTCATTTTTAATCCTGTTCATTAGAAAACATGCATTTATGGTATGGTATGATGGAGATTGTTGCTGTAGACAGTCGTTTCCTTATAGTATGGGACTCGTCAGCAGTACACATCCATGGTTTTTGCTACTCAATGGATTCATAAGCCAGGAGATTCAGTCTGGTGTGAGGATGCTTAACCACTGGACCACTATGCCGGCATCCAACGGTTATGCGATCGTGGATGCAATATGTTCCTTGGCCTTCCTCTTTTCCTTTGACCTTGAGTGTTCCATGTGAGGTCTTGTCTTGTGACGCAGTTCGGTGCTTTTCACAATGTGTCCTTTCTACTTCCACCGCTTCCTCCTGATTTCCTCCTCCACTCGAATCTGGTTTGTTCTCTCCCACAGTACATGGTTGCTGACGGTGTCTGGTCAACGATTCCGAAGTATTTTGCGTAGACAAGTGTTTATAAATACTTGTATCTTCCGGATGATGGCATTGGTAGTTCTCCAAGTTTCCGCTCCATACAGTAGAATTTTATTGATAGTAGCATTGAAAATTCTGATTTTGGTGTTTCTTGACAGTGGTTTGGAGTTCCATATGTTGTTCATCTGTAGAAATGCTATCCCTGTGCTATACCGATCCGCGCTGTCACATCTTCATTGGATCCACCGTGCTCATAGATCCTGCTGCCCAGATATGTAAAGGTGTTTACGTCCTACAAGGCATCTTCATCAAGACTGATTTGGTTGGTGCATGTTGTGTTGCATCGGTGAATCTTGCTTTCCTCTTTGTGTATGTTGAGACTCACTGCTGCTGCAGCTACCCTGGTAGTCTTCTCTTACATTTGTTGTTGCGTGAGCGATAGAATAGCCATATTTAAAATGTAAAATAAGCATTCCATCGAAACGTCTACGCAGATCGTTTTTAATCCGAACTACTCAACTAAGATACTAATAATAATAACAATGAACACTTTACATAATCGTTTGCATTGTCCCCCACCACCCCGATGTGGAGTAGGTTGGAAGAAAGCTATAGGGGCGGCCAAAACAAAACATGGCACAAATCCATGAAGTCACACTGACAAGTGGACTG